GTAGGGATATGGAGTAGGGGTGGGTGGGGGTGGATACATTTTAGTTTTAATAGTAGAGGTTTTACGGCGCTCGCAACTCCAGAAGGTCATATGAGCGCCAGAAGATTAGAGGTGTTGCAAGAGAGTAACAAACATAAAAAGAAGAAGGGAAGGTAAGGACGATAGATGTTTGATAGGAAAGAAGAAGCAAACCGCACCAGAGCACCCACCAACCACCCACGTGGATACATTTGACGTTTAACTGTGAGATTTACGTTATAATGTAATATAAGGGGTTTTTGTACTCAAATGGTTTGCCACACTGCACATGAGAATGATCTGTCTGTTTGTCTGTCTGTCTGTCTGCCTGGCTGGCTGGCTGGCTGACTGGCTGTCTTCGTACAAACAATAAGAAACAATGACAGGCACACACACGCCCACACGCGCCAACTAAACATGCTTACCCAGTCCGTTCTCTTGAGTGTGGTCATAAGGCGTCCCTGAAAAGTTGTGAAAGGACGTGTTAGCCGTGGTCCAGAGAAGGTGAATGTTTGCAGGCTGCGTCCATGAGCAGAATCTACCACTGTCAAAGTGACAGTCCAGAGGACTTGCGGCTGAGGATGAGAAAAAGGAAAAGAAAATATTGATCTCCGGGGAACAAATTCTACAGTTAGCTTTCTATTATGAGACTATCACTATCTACAGACTTCAACAGAAGTTAAGGACCACCTTGACAGACAGCCCTGGTTTTTTAAAAATCCGAAAAAAAGACAGCAAGGGATGTTTCAATTTTTTTTTGCTCTGAAAGTGTTAATGGGTTAGTAATGCGTACAGCAAAGATTCCTAAAGGGACAAATCCACCACGTGCAGCCCGGAAATCCTCTGGGATTTTAGCCAAATTTGCTGGTTTTCATCGACTGGTGTGCGACACCACGGACATTCCTCCGTTAAAATTTCTGGAGCACGTGATAAACGGACGTATGGTCTCGAGCTGTGCTCACTTTGGTGGCAATATAAGCTGCCGTTTGCGCAAGATCCAATACCACATCAACATGCCACCAAGACGAAAGCTGACAGACTTTGTTCGTGCCAGGGCTATGGCATGGCTGCAGGATGGTGTTGGAGCCTGACAAGTTGCCGGAAGGCTTGCAGTGTCACACTCTATCATTGCCCGCCTGGGGCAGCGCCATGAAGCCACTGGATCAGTCCGAGAACGCCCATAAGCAGGTCGACCCAAGAAGACCACTCAGAGAGAGGATCGATATGCCCATGAGCCATGGACACGTGCCCAATGGTGCCATGTGTTGTTCACAGATGAGTCACGATTCATGTTCAACCCAAAAGATGGACGTTTGCGTGTGTGGCTGCGTTCACGAGAACAGTTAATGGATGTTAATGTGCATGAGGTGACTCCTTTCGGTGGTGGCTCCATAATATTATGGGGTGGGATTAGTGCACACCATAGAACCCAACTTTACCATGCTGGTGGTACACTGAATGGCCAACGGTACCTGCAAGAAAGTCTCAAGCTACTCGTCATAGCGGGTCTCCAGCACATTGGCCAACATGCAACACTCCAGGACGACCACGCCACCCAATATCTTTGTAGAGCAGTAAACACGTTCATCAGGCAAGCAGGGATTACAAGAATGGCCAACCAACAGTCCCGACTTCAACCCCGTTGAGAATGTGTAGGGTGCACTTGGTCGGACAGTCCAGCAGCACCATCCACCACTACCAGTTGACTGACAAGAGCTGCTACAGATCCTGCAGCAGGAGTGGGGAAACCTTCCCCAGGCCTTCATTGCCACCACCATCAACACCATGAGGCGACACTGCCTTCCTTGTATTGCTCGGCGTGGAGGGTACACCCGTTTTTGAACAGACTGTCATAGACAATATTTCCTTGATTTTTCTTTTGAGAGGTACTGTTGTTCTGAGCGATATATTGCCTAACGTCGTGACGTCATCATTCTGAAATTGAATTGATTTTGCTGAGAAATGATTCCATTAACTATCTCTGAAATTCCAAATGTTTTGCTTTGCACCTATTTGTGTTGCGAGAGTGTTTGCAAGTGGTCCTTAACATATTTTGAAGTCTGTGTCTGTCTGTCTGTCTGTCTGTCTGTCTGTCTGTCTGTCTGTCTGTCTGTCTGTCTGTCTGTCTGTCTGTCTGTCTGTCCTTGGTAAAAACAAAAGGAATCGAAATTATATATAGATTTATTTTTAAATTTAAAAATAAAAACAATAGTGCCAACGGGACTTACCAATTCGTCTTTGCTCCTTTCGAAGATTGGGACGTGTAAGAAATTCAAATAGCTTTTGTCTTTTGCCTTAAAGATAATTACTGGACCGACCCGAAATTTAAAAAATGGTACATGTTTAACGCCCCTATCAACACTATTAGTTTATTTAAGGGGACCGACCCGAGCTGATCAGAAAGACTACAGATACTCGAGAAACATTATTAAAACTCTCAACACACGGAAATCGAACTCGGTTGTTCTGCGTGCGACGGCAAAACGCTTAACCGCTACACCACAGACACCGATCGATGTCACTATACCGGTCCAACTTACGTCTGACGAGTGAGCAGTAAGCTTAAGACCGAACTGCCTCATGGCAAGTGTTCAGTTGGAAGGTAGAAAAAAACGTTTCAAGGACTGCCTTACCGTCTCATTAAAAGAACTTGGAATCTTGAACGACTCGTGAGATGCACTGGCCCTGGATCGTCCCGCCAAAGCAGCGGAAGCCAAGCGCATCTCCGAAGCAAAAAAAAAAAAAAAAAACTCAACGTGCACAAGTCTAGACCTACCTCCTTCACAGGTGCAACAGCCGACTACCAGTGCCCACACTGCGGGTAAACCGTCTGAGCCCGGACAAACCTAATCAGTTGTCTCCGGACCTACAGTCACCGACAACAGATCTTTTTTTTTTGGATCGATTGAGTAGGTGTTTCACGGCACTATCGACTCTGGTCATATAAGTGCCAATAGGTTTCACCGCAATAAATCTAGGATCAGTAGTGTTTTAGTGAGAGTTTTTCGGAGCTCGCAACTGCACACGGTCATATTGTCATCATCATGCTAAAAGGACGGACAGACATTTATGAAACTTTTTGTAAATATGGTAAAGACTTTTTTTTTACATTTGTATAAACAATATTAATGTCAGTCTATGCATATATACACTGACAACGATAACTATATATTTTTATATCCTATTAAATAGTGCTATTTCTTTAACATAACTTTAAAAAATGTTTCAAGGGTTAACAGTGTCAAAAAGGGTTTTGACATCTTTACATTTAAAATATTTTGTACGCAAATCATTAAAGTCGACACATTCCGTTAGGATGAGCCGAACTGTAAAGTATGTGTTGCTCGCCACGCGAAAGGGAGCTTCTTTTCCTTCGAGTAAATGTTTGTGTGTGACGTGCGTGTGTCCTATTTTTAATCTTGTGTAAATAACACTTTCTCTTCGTAGGAGAGACAGGGGTTCCTGGGCGCAAGTTTCCTTTGAATGTAAGGCAGCTTGTTGTGTATTTGTTGGTTCCAAATTTAGGACCAGGAACATGTGATGTGTTCTTTTACTTTCGGTTTCATTTCAGAGAAAGGGATTTTACTATTTTTGTTTTCAAGTAGTTTTAGAGATTCTTTGGCAAATTGGTCAAACGGTTTCATTGCCATCAACGCCTACATGGCTTGGAAGCCAAGGTATTGTAATAGTTTTCCAGATTTATGTAAAAAAAATGCAGTTCAATCATAAGTTTTAAAATTCGGTTGTCGGAGGTGTCAGAGCGCTCTAAAGATTTCAGACAAGAGAGAGTCTGAAAGGATTAGGGAAGTAGACTTGGTTGATTGATCTATTATATTTAGGGCCATTTCAAGAGCTGTAGCCTCAGCAGTGTAGACTGTGGCTTCTGACTGGAGTTTCCTTAAGCTTAAGCTGTGTGGGGAAGCAAGGGCAGGAGCTAGCTCCTACTGAGAAGTCATTTTTGGATCCGTATGTAAAAAGTTTTTCTGCTTCAGGGTATTTGTTTATTAGCTGTTTGTATGAGTTTAGGTATGTAGTTTTGTCTGTAGACTTTTGTTGTGTTTTTCAAGACTTGTATCTATATTCGGATTGGTTAAATGCCATGGAGGTATGCTGGACATGGCAAAGGGCTTGATTACGTATTTAGAAGAATCAATGTCTTGGAGATCCTTCTGGATTCTTATTCCGAAAGGGCTTACTTTACTTCCTAGGGAGGATAGAGTTTTTAGATCTTCGGAAAAGCCCATTTGTGGGCTGGGTTTTGGGCATGGGGTACTGAGCTAAGTTTGAAAGCGTACTGCAGAGAGAGGTTTTTTAAAAAATAAGTTCTAAAGATGGTTCGTGAGCTTCTGCCTGTAATCTTTCTACAGGTGAAGTACGGAAAGCGCTTAGGGCAAGGCGAAGGCCTTGGTTCTGAACAGGGTCTAAAATGTTTAGGTAAGACTTTCTAGCTGATCCGTAAACAGGACTGGCATAGTCCAGCCTGGGACGGACAAAGGAGCGGTAAAGTTGGAGAAGTATTTCAGTATCTCCTCCCTATTCGGAATTGGATAATACTTTTAAGGCGTAGAGAGCACTCTGACACCTAATCTTTAGGTATTTCAAGTGTGGTAGGAAAGAAAGTTTATTGTCGAAGATTACGCCCAGGAAACGAGCTTGTTTTTTAACTGGAATTTTCTCCACAAACAAACATAAATCTGGTCGCCGCACACATTTGTGCGACAGACCAAAATGTACACAGTTTGTTTTTGTTGTAGAAAAATCAAACTCGTGCCCTTTTTGCCCAAGTTTCCAGTTCATGGAGTTGAAGCTGAAGCTGACGTTCAGTGTGATCTCTTTTTTATTTTGATTTATAGCAGATCAGGAAGTCGGCAACGTAAAATGAGCAGTCAATATTGTTTTGAAGGGTTTTTATGATGGAATTGATTTTGATTTTAAAAAGAGTGGATGATAAGATGCTTCCTTGGGGGACGCCTTCTTCTTGGGTGGGTAGATTTGATAGGGTTGAACCTACTTCTACTTGAAATGATCGATCTTTCAGAAAGTTTCGTATAAATTCGGGAAGATTTCCGCGTAAGCCCAAATCATGCAGGTCTTTTAACATACCACATTTCCATGTGGTGTCGAAGGCTTTTTCTAAGTCGAAAAAAATAGCTACAAGGTGCTCTTTCCCAATGAAAGCCTCCCGAATGGAAGTTTCACGTTGTACGAGACGGTCAATAGTAGAGCGATTTTTGCGAAAACCGCATTGGAAATTGGATAAGGATTTGACTCGAGAAACTTTGTAAGTACCATGGGACGGTAGTTTGATGGGTTAGAGTGATCTTTTCCTGGTTTTGGGATTGGTATAATAGTGACAAGACGCCAACTATTCGGAAATTGTTGAGAAAACCAGAGTTCGTTGTAAATGTCAAGGAGCAATAGGAGTGTTACGTCTGGGAGATGTTTGATGATTTCGTTGAGTATTTGATCAGGGCCTGGAGCTGTGTTTGATAGCTCTGCAATGTTACATTTTAGTTCATTAAGAGAAAAGCTTCAATTATAGTTTTCTTCATTTGAAGACGTAAAATCAACAGTTGTCTTTTCAGAAGACATTTTCACTTTTTTGAATTCCTGGCTGTAATTTTGGGTAGAAGAAATTCCGGAGAGGGTTGATGCTATACAGTCAGCTACTGTTTTTTCTGTCTCTGCGGGGGAGTTATTTGGTTTTAAGATGTGTTTGAGTGTGTCTCTTTTAGTTTGTGCATTGGTGTGTTGTTGTTTATTTTAGAGACTTAATTACGAAAAGATGTTTTTTTTCGGCCGTTCTGATTATTCTGCGCGTTTGGGCTCTTGCAATTTTGAAATTTGTGAGGTTTTCGTTTGTTTTAGGTTGACGAGCTTCCTCAGAGCATTTTGGCAGTCTTCACTGAACTAACATTTATTTTTTCGGGGTTTGGTGGATAATTTTGGTATGTGTCTTGGAATGATTTCTAGAAGGGTTTCATGAAATTGATCAAAAGTTTGTTTTTGAGATGGATTGAGTTTCTGGAGACATTCCTTGTGAAGCCAACACCAGTCCGCTCTTTTAAGATGGAAACGGCCCAGGATAGGAGTTCAGTGTGCAATGTTTGGAATTAGGTTGATGGAGAATTGGTCCGACCCGTATGGGTCGTCCAGGACCGACCACTGAAAGTCTGGAATTAGATCTGGATCACATAGGGTTAAATCTATGGATGAAAAGTGTAAGTTATTTGAATTTTGAAATGTTGGGGAAATGTCGTTAAAAAATACTTGATTCTAGTATTGGTTTTTGTTAAGAAATCTTCTATGATTTTACCGTTAGTGTTAGTTGGTTCATTTCCTCAAAGAGAGGCTATGGGCATTAAAATCTAACATGATAAAGGGTTGTGGGAGCTGTTCTCTGAAGTTTATTAGTTCTCTTAAAGACAGAGAATAATTTGGAGATATGTATATTGAACAGATAGTCATAGGACGGTGTATGGTGACCCTGACCGCAACTGCCTGAAGTGTTGTGTTTATTTGTATTTGTTTGTGTAGTGTTTGGTTATTTATTAAAATGGAGTTGCCCCCACAGGTTGTCAGTGTATACTTGGTTGTAAGTTTGATAGTTTTTTTTATGTGAATGTGGGTGTTGGCAATTTAGTTTCTTGTTGACAGATAACATTTGGGGTGTGTGAGGTCAAAAGATTGGAGAGTTCTACCTGGTTTGCACGCAAACCGCGAATGTTCCACTGAAGAACTGCCATTTTTATTTATGTTGAGGGCACGGGTTCAGTACATTTCTTTTTGGTCGTAGGTGACCGTTGCCTCGGTTTTGTTAGACTGCGGTCATGGTGCGAAGGGGAGTGTGGAGGGGAGGAGGACCGGAGTCCCGGGTGCGGGGAGTGGATGGGGGACCTTTGTTGGATGAAGGGCAATGGGATGGAGGTTGATGTGGGCGAGATGAGGAAGATGGAGGTTGAAGCAATGAGGGTGTAGGATGTGATGACTTGTGAGAAGATGATGATGGTGAGGATGTTTTGGGTGAAGATGATGATGGGGGTGATGATGAGAATGATGAGGGTGAGGATGGTAAGGGTGAGGATGATGAGGGGGGTAAGGATGAAGAAGATAGCTGAGATGGTGGTGATGAAGAGGGGGTGTGGGGGTGGTGGATGGAGAGTGGGAGAGTTAGGAGGGGAGGAAGTGGACTCCATGTCCTCCTCCGTCTCCAGATAGGAGCACTGTTTGTTGCAGGTGTTCTGCTTTTGTCTATTTGTCCGAAGGACCTTTTGGGTTAGGTTCACTTACCCTGGGACTGTCTTCGAGACTTTTGAATATGTTTTTGCATTCTCGGGGTCGATCCTTTTAGATATAGCGTTGCTCTTGCTTGAGCGAACGTTCCGCCGTACTGGGCCCTATGTGTTAGGATGGCTTTCTCCCGACAAGGATGCAGAGTGACCCCCTGTCGACAATTTGGACACCAGGGATCAGCAGAGCAGGTCTCCCCATAGTGCCCTTCCTTGCCGCCGCGAGGACACGCTGCACCACGACGACAGCGCAGCTGCGTGTGTCCGAAGCGCTGACAGTTGAAACAGTGCATCGGTTTCGGTATGTATGGTCGTACTTCTAGTTCTAAATAGGCGATGTCCAATTTTGTTGGTGGTGTGAGTGTGTTGAATGTAAGGGTCCACGAGTTGGTACAGATTTCCTTGCCATCTCGTCGCACTTTGATCCGGCGAGCATGGACAATTCCATCGACCTCCTGAACCATCACTTCTTCCGTACAACCGCTGAGTTATCGGCTTTTGATGACACCCTAGGATGTGTTCAGACTTCTGTGAGGTTGACACATACAGGGACGCCACCAAATGAGGTGCAGGCCAACAGTTTGCCTGATTCTGCGCTGGAACTGACCAGTATCAGAAGGTCCGTGAAGCCTAGGTTTTTAAGGTATTTTGGTTTTTGCATTCCGAATGCTTTTAGTGATTTGTGAATTTTAAAGACGTTTGGAGTTGCTAGATCTAGGTCCTGCTTTTAATCTTTTAGGGAGATCACCAGAAATGGTGACCACCCACATGACGTTCTTTTCGGCATGTCCCAGATGCTGACAGCGTCAGCATCGTAGCCCGAAAGGACCTTCTTTCGTTTGCCCAGGCAAGGAGTTGCATGTGTTTCTCCTGTCTGGGACTTGTTGGGAATTGGGGTGGGAGAAATTATTGATTTTAATTCCATGTGTTTTTCGTTTTTATTCATCTCCAGGGCTCCCCACCCGCCACCGAGTCCAACAAGGGGACACAGCTCGGAAGACCATAGCTGGTGTCAGGAAGACCCTGGAGGTATACTCCCAATCGGACGACAAGAAATCTCGCCTTCCATCCAAGATTGGCTAAAAAACCGGTTCTAAGAACCGGTCGCAACGGATTGAGTGCAGTAGGCCGCTACACCCGCCCATCTAGACCAAACCCAGGGCCAAAGTGGCGTGTTGGTGGGGAAGCCACACCTCAGCCACCAGGGTCCCCTTTTCCGGTCGCACGGGTAGCATTCCACGGTCAACAGGATGCCTTGTGTTGCGGGGATTTGGGGTCAATTTTTTTGCTTGACTTGACCTTCGGTCGACAGATCGGAAAGAAAAATAGATGGACAGAAGACATAGCAAGAGCGAACAGAATATGCCACCCCTACGTCAGAGAGCTAGTGACGTACGAGTGGCATCCCATCAGCAGGGGGGTTACACCCCCTGTTGATGGGACAGCCAAATAATTTTTTATTTTATTCCCCGGTCAGCTCGGGGAAGGACGAAAGAAGAAGTAAGATAGACGATAGAAGACAGACGATACATCTACGCAAAAATCGCCCATGTACACCTGAGCGTAGATGTCCATGGGTGACAAATCACCAGTGAAAGGGTTGCACCTCCTGCTGGCGGAGCAGTGGGTCTGTTTATATCCCCCCGACCCACGGGGGTAATCAATTTGCGAAGTCATGGTCATCTTCAAAAGCGAAGGACGAACAACACACAAGCTTAAGAAAAATCAGTCACTCAGTTCCAGAAAAAAACTTACGGTATGTCTTGTCAAACGGCTCCAGCGGTGTTTGGGTCGGGTGATACGAGACATCAGCACAAGTGCTTTGGAAGACTTGGATATCGTCCAACGCCATTTCATAGGAGCTCGAGCTGGCTATTTCTGTCTCAAACATAAGCTGAAGGGGGAGGGGCGAGGGGGTGTCAGAGAGCACACGAACACACACGCGACACACACACACACACACACACACACACACACACACACACCTACATACATACATCTATACCTACTTCCACATAAACACTTTATCAATGTCATGCTCATACTGTGCCGGAACAACATAAGGGGAACTGCTGCTTTTTCTTTCCTCATCCATACTATCGTAATTTTTCTTCTACTTCTTTTGTACTTTTGTCACTCTCCCGTGAACTGCTTTTTCCGGGGTGCCTTGATAGTAGAAGCAGACTTTGTGCTGTTGAGGCTAGAGAGGGGAGCAGAGTAAGCCTGATTCCCCGTTTGGACTTTTCTGTTGACATCCACTCCTTGGCGCTCACTATGCATGACCTTATGCAGTTAAGTTGCGAAAGCCGTAAAACCTAACTGAAACTAAAATACACTACACAAACAAGCACAATTACATATTACACACACACACACACACAGACGCACGCACGCACGCACGCACGCACGCACGCACACACGCACGCACGCACGCACGCACGCACGCACGCACGCACATACACGCACGGGTGGTATGAAGACTGGAGCGTTACCTGGTATGGCTTCGTGATGTCCACTAACTGTCTTTTCCAGCTTTCCTGGGGCTTGGCTGTTAGTGAGTGTAAGTGGGTTCTGTTTCCGTATATGTCTAGACCATACACATCGAGGGGCTTTGCATCTAGAGAAAAATATAATAAACATTTGAGTTGTGCGTATGGGTTTATGTATGTATGTGTGTATGCATGTGGTAGTATAGGGTTTTACGGCGCTCGCAACTGCATAAGGTCATATGAGCGCGCGAAACACAAGTTGTTTGCATTCGCAACAGTTCACTGCACGGTTGGTTAGCTTTTAGACTTTAAAATGTTAAAATGTTTAAAAATCAGTGTATATATTTCTAGTTAACATAAACATTTTAAATAGTACCACTTTCACTTTACAATTTGCCAAAAAGTACAGGCCAATAGCCTTCATAAAATTCAAAATTCTGCTGGGACCAACGACGGAAAAAATGACTTGCAATTTCTTGCATTTATAATATTTCCTTCGGATCTCTCCAGAGTCTAGACATTCCGTTAAGATGTGTCTAACGCTATACGTTCTTATACTATCATGCCACCCAGCCGACTACAAGCCCTCAGGAGATAGAGGCCTACTGTCCAGGCCCACAGGTAGCAGATGCCCCTCCTCTCTTATCTTGCTGCCTCGCAAAGCGCTGGCCTACGTGTGTTCGTTTGGTATCGGGTATCCGATTACCACTTAATTGCATTACCGGTCACGGCGACACCTCTTGTTTGTCTGTAATTTAAGAGACTGGTATCGATGCCCTTTAATTAAGAAGTAATCAAAGAGACCACCCATTTGCCTTACACGGCGCGAAGTTCGTTTGCTGTGTTGTGTGTTGTTGTGTTGTTACCACCTTCAGCATTTTGTGTGCGTTGTTTTCTGAATATCTGCTCCTTTTTTCTGGATTATTTTCACAAGTGTATAACTTGGAGTACTTGTACACTATTCTGTCGATGATTGTTACCTTGCACTCTTGTTTTATCTAAACAGTATCAGTGGTGCTTTCTTTAATTGTGGGATTAAGTAGCTGCTGGAACTGACACCGTTTATTTCAACCTCTGC